TTAGGTAAGCAACAGCATGTATACAATGGAAGCAGATCATGTCCTGCACTGCAACACTAGGCATAATGACTTGGAAGAAAAACTGAATTCAATGGAACTTGCTTCCAATTAAATGGCTGTAAATTGTAGTCTTAATGTAACTGTTGTATTATATTATAGGAGCTGAGTTTTACTTGGATGTTAGTAGTGAGACTTCCTGGTGTCTGAAAACCGCAGGCCAATTGAGCAGAAACAGAGCAGCCTACAAGGTAAATATAACTCTGTTTTCCAATATCCTGGTGCTACACGCCACCCTTTACCCCTTGCTGCCCAAGGCACTGACTTCACTCTGCCTTGCAATAGGTCCAGCCCTACAAAGAGATAAGAAGCATCAAAAGTAATAATTCCCAGACAGTGTTCCTTCAGTCAGTGGCCTATAAGAGGCAAGAGGCAAATGAAGGTGAGGAGTTTTGTGATTCCATTAAGAAAGCTACATGCTGTTTCATTTCATGATTCCTTGATATTCTGACATTCCCTACCCTCCCTGAAATGAATGTCTTCTATGCCTGGATAATTCTTTTCTAATCAAATGATATGACTGAGCCCGTAACTACACAGCCAAATGCTGTTGGATTTTTTCTACAGCTGCTGCCAGTCATTCCTGTGACAGCTCCCTTGAGTAGCTTCTCTCAACTTGTCTCTTTCTGAAGCCTTCAAAGGCACCGAGTAAGAAGCTCCTTCTCTCTAGTAGTCTATGTTTTTTGTTGCAAAAGTGATTTCTTCACATTTTTATTTTATTCCATTTTATATTATAGCAAACACACAAAAAAGACATAAACTATAATACACATTAAATTCAATATTCTCACACAATATTGGTCTTTCTTTATATTTTCCCTCCACCCTGTGCCACCCTCTCCTTTGGGACTAGGTTCCAGCACTTCACCTTTACAATTCATGCCACCCTGTATCTCTCCAGAAATACATGGATTCTCCTTTTGGTGTATACCCTTCCCTTTAATCAAGACATGTTCCAGAAATTGATTTCATAATTCTCTAAAATCATTCTTTTTTAAACATACCTCTTCTGATTTTCCTACCACAGACCAAGTTATCATTAATTGCCATATTCCACATTTCTCTGTACCATCCTTCCATATCGATTTGATTATCACATTTCCAATTCTTTGACATTAGTAGCCTTACCACAGTTACCCTTATGGTAATTAACTCCTTTTTTCCTCTCTCTTTACTTGTTTATTATTAATAACAGTGTTCAGCAGAGCAATCATAGGAGAAGGTTTTATGGCCATTCTTACATTTTTCCTTCTTTGTTCACAAGACCACCACATATGCATATACATCTCTTTCCTACTCCTCCAACATAGAGATGAAAGGGTTTTATTTCTTATAACTGAACAGGTATTAAATACCATTTCCATGTTACCATGTAGCAATTCTCTTTGATTCTTACTGATGTGTTTTTCATTCTTCTTTTATTCCATATCTTGCCCCATGCTTCCCCTTTGATTTCTTTACTCAAATCCTCCTGCCACAAATCTGTTATCACGGATGTTTCATATTCTCCTTCAACCAATAATTTATATATTTTGCTTAAAATAGCTTCTATGTATTCCTCAGACTTCATCAATCTTCTTCCCTTCCCTTCCTTCTTTTTCCATTCCTTTGTCTTTTTTTCTAGTATGTGTAACCATGTGGACCTCTCTTCTCCCAACATTTCTCTTATTTCTTTTTTATCTTGTATTGTTTCCATCCATTCCGAAATTCTTATAATCCCTTTATCTTTTATTAATGCCTTTACTGTACTTTCCCTTTAAGATTTTTTTGGGAAATTCTTTATATCAGCCACCTTGGTCAGAGGGGGAATCGGTAGTCTCTGTACTCTTCCTAAACTTCTCCAGCTTTCTAACAAGGTTTTCATACAGGGATTTGCTAAGTTGTCAATCTCTTCCCCAATTCTTTCTTTGAAAAGGATATTCTCTAGATTTTCCTCATTTTTACCCTCTTCGGAATCTTTCCACATCCGGTTTTGATTATTTAACGTAACATTTGGAACATGTCTTAATTGGTTTGCTATACAATATAGCTTAATATTGGGTATTCCTAAACCTCCTTCCTGTGATGAAATGTACCATAGTTTCTTATTTATCCTAGCTCTTTGATTTCCATTGCAACACTTGTTTATCAAAATCTGCCATTCTTTTAATTTTCTGTTATCTTTATCAGCAGCATCCACAATAAAAAGTTTGATTTGGAAATAATTTTTATTTTGCATATCACAGGTCTACCAAACCATTAAATCTTTAATTTTTTTTAAAATATTCCTTTTTGTGATCACATATCTCTTTCTTCAGCCAAGCTCATTTTTATTATATTTATCCCCTAATATTTGATTTAAACTTCACCTTGAATACATACCTTTTGTTTTTGATCGTAATTTAGTAAAATACATTGTGATTTGCTTCAATTTACACTTAATCCTCTTATTTCCTCAAACTATTTTAAATGTTCTTTTATTCTCTCAATTGTTTCTAGTGGATTCTTATTATTGTTAATAGCATATCATCTGTGAACATGTTTATCTTATTTTGTGTCCTATTCCCTCTCTTTGTTTCTCCTCTCTAACTACCTGTGCCAACATTTCTATTATCAATGTAAATACTGTAAAACTGGAGGTAATGGGCAGCCTTGTCTCATTCCATGACCTAAGAGAGCTGTGATATACCATCACTGACTATTACTCTAGCTGGATTTTGTGAGTACAGTTGTTGTATTATATGCTTGAAGTGAGTACCAAACCTTAATTCTTCTATTACCATCTTTAACACAGTCCACTCCACTGAATCAAATACTTTAAAAATACTGTATCTAAGGATAGAACTCCATCATTAGTTTTTGTCCTTTACACTTAACACATTGAGTTAAACACTCTTCTCATTAAATCAGCCATCTGTCACCCTTGCAGAAAACCATTTTGATGCTTCTCTGTATAAATCCCAATAAAATCATTTGGTCTGTTTGACAGGATCACAGTGAATATCTTTGTATCTTGATTTTAGCAAGGAAACTGGTCTGTATGCTTCTGTATCCAAGGGACTTCTAACATATATTAGTACTATAGCTGATTCCCTTCAAGACTGAGGGATATCTTCACCTATTAAAGTGTGATTATATAATATTTTCAGTTTGGGTGTTAGGGTCTTTTAAAATATCATAAAATTCTGGGCCGAGACCATCGGTTCGGGGGTTTTCCCCTGCTTTCAGTTTATTTGTAACCCCCTCTATTTCCTCTTCAGTACTTAATTGTTCCATTCTATCTTCTGTTATTTTTTTAAATTAAAATTATGCCTTTTTTATGTTTCCTCATGGTTTCTACTGATAAATAATTTATTATAATACTTCTGGAATTCCTCAGCCTTATCTTTCATGTTATTGCACCTATTCCCATTCTGATCCTGTATGACCCCTATACCTCCCTTATTCTTTGAGTAGCTCTTGGAAGTAATTTAGATTTTTTAAAAATTTAATTCAAAATTTTCTGAGTTAAAGAAAATTATATTTCTTTGCATCCTTACTAAATGATGCCCCTCTAATTCTTTCCCTTTCACTTGTAATTCTAACATACTCTTCTTATCCCTATTTCTTAAGGCCTTCCTTCCAAATCCTGTATACATTTTTCTAAGTCCTGTATAGAGATGGGCACAAACCACCAAAATGGCAGCTTGTCTTGGTTCATGGTTCATGGAAGTCCATGAACAAACCACGAATTCCCAAACGACCCACAAATTGGGTTGTTGCTTCATCCAGGATTTATTTATTGACAGCCCACTGACTGCCTTAAAAAACAACACCTGGCTGTCTCCCTGCCCACACATCCTGCCCCCAGCCCATTCCCACTGCCATCATAGCTTCCTTACTTTTTCCTAATGCTGCCTTGTCCTCAGTCGCCACCACTGCAGCCATCTTGAGAAGCTGCCTGCTCCTCCAGGCTGGCTGGTCTCTCTGCATATTCCTGCTTCTATTCTGAGAGGTGGAAACATGCATAGAGGGCCCCGGCAAGCTGACAGATGAGCTAATTCAATTTTTAAAATAATATTAATTAAATTTTCCCCCAGTTAGCCAGGATAAATATGCCACCACCTCCCAGATGAGAGATCAATTAATTTTAAAAATTAATTAATTTTTAATTTTAGTTAGTTAGCTAGCCTGCCTGCCAGCCAGAGGTCTTCTGTGCACGTCCCCACCTCCCAACTGAGAGGCAGGTACAACAGGCCCGTGTTGGGGTTCTGAAAATGGCATCGACAGCGGAAGCAGCACCAGCAGCAGGAAAAGCGAGGGACGTGACCAGGTCAGTGGGAAGGGGAAGAGAGCAGGCTGGGGGAGGGGGGAGGGATAACAAACCAGGAGGTTCAGAAATCACCCCAAAATATGATGGTTTGGGAAACTTCAGATTCTGTAGTTTGGAAAACCCAAACCAATCCTAATCAAATTAGCGGTTTTTGATGAATTTCCAGGTTTGTTTTGAACTTTGTGCCCATCTCTACCCCTGTATTATTTTCTCTTGTTCTTTTCAAAGCTTACTTGCCACGTTAATTCTATATCCTTTGGCCAGAGACCTCATAGTAACCCCTAATATTTTGTCTTTTCCCCTTCCTGACCCATTTGTTTTCTTCGTTTTCTCCAAATTCCTTTGCAACTCATCGATTATGTGCTTATGTGGAAAGATGTTAGAATCAATTTTACATCTCCAAGCTTCCTTATAAAACATAGTCAATCCTCACTGATTTCAAAAGGACCCAAGATGGGCACTCGAAGGCAGCCCACATGCTTGTTCTTGCCTGATGATATGTAGGAGAATAGCCATGGGCAACATGATTTGTAGATAACAATCTCAAAGAAAATACCTCAGAAATTATGTCAATTCTCCTCCAGTGCCACATCTGAAGAAATGTCATTCATTTTTTGCCTACAGGGACAGACAAGGCTCAGAATATCAACTAATGGCCTCTTTTAATCAAACCATGGTGACAGAGTTCATCTTAATTGGACTATCCGAACACCCTAAAGCTCAGATTATGTTCTTTTGGTTTCTCATGGTGGTGTACCTCATCAGTGTTCTTGGCAATGGTATCATTGTCCTCTTGATTCTTATAGACTCCCAGCTTCACACCCCCATGTATTTCTTTCTCTGTGTGCTCTCCTTCGTAGATTTCATCTTTATCAACAATACAGTTCCTGAGGTCATGGCCAACTGCTTCATCTACATGCCCACAATTTCCTTTACCAGATGCCTGTCACAGATGTATCTTGGTGTGTTATTTGTTTCAACAGAATGTTTTGTTCTGGCTATCATGGCATATGACCGCTTTGCAGCTATATGCCATCCACTACACTATTTGCAGATCATGAACTGGTCGGTTTGCATTGGTCTGGTGGGGGCATCGGTGAGCCTTGCTTTCCTGATAACCCTTATCAATGGCCTGCTTCAGCCTACAGACTTCTGTGGCCAACACACCATCAACCATTTTGCCTGTGAGCTGCAGTCTTTTCTCAAACTGGCTTGTTCTGACACACGGATCAGTGAGCTCTTCATGCATATTTCTAGCCTTTTTATCCTACTACCATCCTTTGGCTTCATAGTTATGACATATGGACGTATAGGTCTGGCTGTTCTGCGCATCCGCTCAGCACAGGATCGTAGGAAAGCTTTCTCTACCTGCAGCTCTCACCTGGCTGTGGTCAGCATCTTTTATGGGACCATCATGATCGTGTACTTGAGGCCACAAGGGAAATCTGTCTCTGACCAAGGTAAGATCATATCTGTGGCCTATGGTGCTCTGACCCCCATGCTTAATCCTCTGATCTACAGCCTGAGAAACAGGGATGTGAAGGGGGTTTTCTGGAAGCTGGTCAAAAAGAAGACGTTAGATTAAATAACTGTTTGCAGAGTAATAGTGTGAACATTATTATTGCTTGCTCACTTTAAGCAACAAACTATTTTATGACACAAATAACAGCCTTTGGAAGATGGTAGCAAGAATTTCATGGCTGGAAACCAGAAGTTAGATGGCTTTGTAATAAGGAGATTAACAAGAAGCATAAATATAAAAAGCAGAGAAAGATGGTGATTTTATTTCAGATCATCTGTGGAATGGAACACTGAACAAAGGAGGAAAGTAAAGTAAATTCTAAGCAGAGTGGAGGGTGAATAAAAAACTGCAAAAAATTATTTCAATAATAGACACTGCAACCAATTTTTACAGAATTTTTACACAAAAGTGAAAACTGAGATACTCTAGAATCATGTCTACAAAGCATTATGTGTGAGGTTCACACACCAGCACAGAGATCAAAATCCTCTTGATTAACACAGTAAATTGTGCTAAGTAGACCCCTTGTGCATTTCTTTGATTCAAAGGGGCCTACTCTAACTGTGGCATGGGACGTGGTGGTGCTGTGGGCTAAGCTGCAGAAGCCTGTGCTGCAGGGTCAGAAGACCAAGCAGTTTTAAGATTGAATCCACGCAACGGAGTGAGCTCCCGTCGCTTGTCCCAGCTCCTGCCAACCTAGCGATTCGAAAGCATGCAAATGCAAGTAGATAAATAGGGACCACTTTGGTGGGAAGGTAACCGCGTTCCGTGTCTAAGTCGCACTGCCCATGTGACCACGGAAGATTGTCTTCGGACAAATGCTGGCTCTATGGCTTGGAAACGGGGGTGAGCACCGCCCCCTAGAGGCGAACACAACTGGACAAAAATTGTCAAGGGGAACCTTTACCTTTACCTTTACCTTTGCCTTACTCTAACTGTGACTTACTATGCTAAAATAAGTTGCAGGTAAGGACCTGAGGATAGAAACCAAATTGTAAAATAGAACTAAGAAACAGAGAGTAGCTTCTACTCAATCTAAATATGACCCGTAAAAGTCTACGCAGAAATATAAACTTAAGCATATGAATCTATGTCTTCTCAACTCAAGGCAATGACACACCAATGAAGAGAGAAAGGTTACAAAACTTTATTCAATGAAAGGAAACAAGGATGAATCATGGTACAATGGGTATACAATAAAAGAAAGAGTTCAAAAAAATAGAAAATGAACTCTAATGTAAAAGGATAGAACAAAGCAAGGCATAACCTGTAAGACCTGTTCTGCCACTATATGCCTCATCAGCAGATTCATTTTGTATAAGTCTCCACGTCCCTTGTGGAGTCAACGGCTACGTGGAATACTCTGAGGATCACCAGCTTGTTATGACCTGTGCACAAGCTCAATGATGGTTTGCCCTTTCTTGTCTCTAAGATTGCTAGCATCTGCCTCTTGGCTATGATCAGAGCACATTCTTTTTTAACTGGGAAATTATTTGAAGAGTAACCTGATAGTTGGTACATCAATAAGGAGATATCTCACTTACTGGCAAAAGTGAAGACCTGTGTCTTCAAAAAACTTGGTTAGGTAACAAATTGATAACACACTGCATTCCCAGGCACAGGTGTTCAGAATCAATTGACTGGTCAGCACAGCTATATAAACAAATTCATTTCTCGGATGATAACTACATACCTTCACAATAAACAATTGACTTCCCAGAGAGTTAGTAAAGACATACACTTCCCAGACAGGTCAGGTCAAATAAAGGACATGAGAAGAGAAACAAAACTGTACAGTAGCTTCTATTCAAGCTAAAAATGACCCATCAAGGTCTATACAGAGATAGAAACCTAAGCATATAAACCTATATCTATATCTATATGCAAGTAATCCTGGATGTATAGGAAAATTGGGTCACATCAATATACTTCCTTGAAATACAGTATTTTTTTGTATATAGCAATACAACTATATTGCAGAATTGCCATACACTGTTTTACCAGAGGGCTAATATACACTCAGTAAAATCAGTTTCTTGATGTGCTCCCTCAAGTGGCCAAAAGGGTATATGTTGGAACATTGTAAAAGAAGTAGGATTCCCTCTAGAAACAGTTCCAGCATAAATTAACCTGCTCACTAAAGTGTGAGGAGAAGAATTATTACTACCCTACCTCCTGCTACCTGTTGAAAAATGTATATGAGGGTTTCAAGCATTTCAGTTAAAAACCATACAAAGTGGTTTTCTTCCTTTCGGGTTTGTACCAATACTGTAATTGAAAATTAATGCTCACCCAGTCTTGGTTACAAAACTTTAAAGAATTTTTACTTTATAACATGTAGAATGGAATAAACAGTGCTTTGACATTTGGTACTTTATACATGGACTTGTGTTTGAATTATTTATGTTGATTATATTATCTTTAAATTTGACAAACATAGTTACTCCATCTTATCTACATTCTGAATTAGTATAACACCCAGACAAACTCCTCTAGTGTTGCTCAACCTTCTACTTAGATGGGGTCTCCTGTCAGGTGCCTCCAGCTAAGAGAATTCCTTTCGGGTGGGAGGACATCCTCTGTTCCTGCAAGTCACCAGCAATCTGCTCCTCTTGCTCCGCCATTCCTGGCTGCCACCTAAACCACCCATGTGCTTTACTACTGGAAGAAGAACAAGTCATTGTGGGTTCCCACCTACACACGGTAGTGTACATTCATGACATTAAAGTGACTTTTCTCAGCTTCCCTTTGCTCAGAATGGATGCTAGTTACCTTAAAGATTAAAAAAGGATAAGAATTAAAGACATTGTTGAGTTTATGCACAGGTCATAGCCAAGTGGTGCTCTACAATGTATTCAGGGTGGCCATGGACCTGAGAAGGAATCTGGAGACTTAGATGAAATGAATCTGCTACTGAAGCATCTTTTAGCAAACACAAAAAAATCCATCGCTATGCGGATTCGTCGTTAAACGGGGCGCACGTTAAGCGAGGCACCACTGTAGTAGATGCTGAATTTCGTGGGTCCTTGTAGAGAAAAAGGTGAGATATAAATATATTAAAGAAAATGAATGAATGAATGAATGAATGAATGAATGAATGAATGAATGAATGAATGAATGAATAAAGAAATAAAAAATAAAGAAATATTATAATTATTATAAGAATAATCTTTGAACTCCAGAGTTAGAACGGACTCTATGGATCATCAAGTCCAGCCTCTGTCAAGGAGGAACAGTGGAGAATCGAACTCCCAATCTCTGGCTTCACAGTCTGAGGTCTAAGCCACTGAGCTATCCAGCAGTTCACTCCTTTAGCTCTGTCTGCCTTAAGTCTTCCCCTCATTTTGAAGCTTCTGAACGGGACAGTAAAAATGGGTCAGCATTTCAGTTCATGTAGCACTGGGGTGGTGAAGAAGTAGTCATTGGTGCTTGACTCTAAAGTGCTATGTGACATAATCTCCCTCGGCATTCAATTAAAGGCCAGTCTTTGGAACCACCTTTGAGCCCTATCAGCCATAATAACCCTGAAGGGCCAATGGGAGTAATTTGACTCATGAACCACTAGGGGGCAGTTTCCAGCAGAAATGTCGTCCTCTCTCAAAGAAGGAGCATGGCAGAACAGATCGAACAGGAGCTGTGTAAGTTACTATTTCCATAACTCTTTTTCCTGAACTTTGAAAATGAACACCATCATCACCCCAGCCTTTCTTCATTTGTGATGGTCTTCTTTCTGAAATTAGCATTTGAGGAGAAAATTTTACTTTCAAGACATTTTTCTTTCATATTATACACTTAAGATGTGGATAGAGCCAGCATGACTTTCATCTCAAAAGGAGAGTGTTTGAATGTATAGGAAAGGTTTTGTGCATGCGGAACAGAGCAGAAACAGAGCAGCCTACAAAGTAAATACAACTCTGTTTTCCAATATCTTGCTGCTGCCCCTTAAACCTTGCTGCCCAAGGCACTGACTTCACTCTGCCTTGCAATAGGTCCAGCCCTACAAAGTGATAAGGTAAAGGTAAAGGATCCCCTTGACATTTAGTTAGTCATGTCCGACTCTAGGGGGCAGTGCTCATCCCTGTTTCCAAGCCGTAAAACCAGTGTTTCTCTGAAGACAGTTTCCGTTGTCACGTGGCCAGCGCGGCTATACAGGGAATGCTGTTTACCTTCCCACCAAGATGGTGCCTATTTATCTACTTGCTTTTGCATGCTTTCAAACTGCTAGGTTGGTGAGGAGCTGGGATAAAGCGACGGGAGCTCACTCCGTCACGTGGATTCGATCTTACAACTGCTGATCTTCTGACCCTGCAGCATACAAAGGCTTCTGCGGTTTAGCCTGCAGCGCCACCACGTCCCTCTTACAAGGAGGTAAGAAGCATCAAAAATAATAATTCCCAGACAGCGTTCCTTGACGGTTCAGTCTGTGGACCATAAGAGGCAAGAGGCAAATGAAGATGAGGAGTTTTGTGATTCCATTAAGAAAGCTACATGCTGTTTCATTTCATGATTCCTTGATATTCTGACATTCCCTACCCTCCCTGAAATGAATGTCTTCTATGCCTGGATAATTCTTTTCTAATCAAATGATATGACTGAGCCTGTAACTACACAACCAAATGCTGTTGGATTTTTTCTGCTTACCAAATAGATAAATTCAGTTTTTTAAAAAACTGATCATATGATACAAAGGCCAATTCAAATCAGTCTGGCCCTTTTCGCTTCCAATGTGGATTTTTTCCCTCTCTCTGTCTCTGGGAGCTTCTCCTGCTTTTCAAACTGAAATGATTTGAGCAGAATTTTCCCCATGTGATCACTTGTCTCTTTCTCCGAAAGGAGCCAGGGGTGTCTGTGAGTGGAGTTGTGGTGATTAAATTGGGCCATGATGTTTAGGGATGGCAGGAACACTCCCTCCTGCTGTCTGTCCCCAAAGTGTCCTTGATCTTTATGTATTTCTGTGTATGTTCTGAAGAATTTTTGGATGCTGCCCCCTTTTCCCTAATGCTGTGCATCCTTTAAAAATAAAGCGGTTTGACAGCAAATCATAAAAGGATTGGACGGACGGA